AATGTGCTATGAGGTACAGCAGCACTATGGCCAACTCTTATATCGAATTCCAACTGCCAAGGATCTTTTACGTGCATGCCCATGTATACACAGGTCCTTGGTTTTTCGTACCATCCAAATGACTAGACAGCTGTTCTTGTTGGCCCTCGGCAGTAGATAATTGAAAAGACTATTCTGGTCGCCAACTAATTAAAGAAATGGGGTTTTCAAAACCAGCTAGTTTTTTATTTTTCACAGGAACAGGGTACATCTTTTATTTCAATAATTTTCTTGAGTGTTGAGGTCAATGGGAGAAAAGTGGAGGACCCACTAGCCTAATATCGAAAGCCCAACACTTGACTCAGTGATAGACAGTATGAACATTATAGAAACAACTCCAGCATTTGTAAAACAACAAGAGCTAACCTCATCTAAAACAACCCAATGACCAGCTTTCAATGCCTGTAACAGTGGTCCGTCTCTCCATGCAAATGTTCCTCCTTTCTCACCTTCTACAGGTAAATCCGCACCAAACAGATCAGTTACATCCTGCAAATAATACAAACAATAATAAGATACAAAAAATAAAATGTGGTCATTTTTAAACTTATTTATGGCAACCAGCGTGAAGGAGGGAGAAAATTTTACCCGAATAGAACCCAGATTTTACTCGAACAGTAGAACCCAGATTTTACCCGAATAGTACAACCCAAATGAATAATGAAATATGTTAAGGGTTACTAGATCTAGGAGTGTAAATATAAAGATAATTTTCCTAATGATAACAAGAGCCTGTGTTTAAAGCAAGTTACATGATGATATGAATTAACTATGAAAATTTTAAAAAATTAACTAAAAAGCAATAAAATGTAAGAAAACCTAAGTTATTTATGTGCTAACTGGTGCCTAGATTTTCCGTCCCATCCCAACGACTAGACTCTTGTTCCTTGTTTGGCCTTCAGTCCTGCATCTCTGACATAAGGAAAACACAGTTGGAAAATTGCCGAGGGAACATTCTCAGCCTTCAGAAGATCAAACCCCGGACCTCCTGGTTAGTGAGCTAGTGCCTTAGACACTGAGCCACAGCGGCTCCGACCAGGTACAGGAAATAACGCTATACAGATATATTTATCCTTACCGTTTGTTCTGACAGGTTTATTCTAACCAACTCTCGTCCTGTATTTCTGGCTATTGCTGTCACGAGACTGGTTTTACCCACACCGGGTGAACCTTCCAGTAATAACGGTCTCGACAACTGTAAACCTCTCAAAACACGTAGAGCATTTAAACATGTCGTCGGTGCCTTCAGCGCATATTTCTCACATTCCTGACCAGACAATGGACCTAAAAATAAACGAGATATGATTCCATCAATATTAAAGGGATGTTTTGCAAGAACAGCGGTGTTACTGCCTACTGTTATTTCGTTTTGGGATATTTTTTACATGCTACAAATGGTGTACACAAGTCTAATAATTTATTCAACGATAATAACCCTTGGCTCAGTTATTGGATACCATAGAATTGTGACCGGTGTTTATACTTGACTGACTACGGACAAAGGGAGACCTGGCGGAAAAAACCTGTGGATATTTCATTGAATCGCGGCCAACTAAAGGATTGAATGTTCTAATGGTTAGCAGCATCATGTTTACTGAGACACCTTGGCTCCCGGGTACTTGAGGGGAAGAAAATATATAAACATATACCCTAACCCAGTGATTCTGTTTCGTTCGTACATGCCGGATATATCTGTCTGAATTGGGAAAAGTTTGGCAGCAAATATCCTGAATCTGTCCTCAAGATATGGTGAATCAAATACAAATTTACTAAAAATGTTGACAGTACCGAGAGCGAAACTGTTACTTATTACGACATAAATTTACTCTTTAGGATTTGGAGGACTTTTATTAAATCATTAGAACCAGATCGCCTGCAAATTAGATTGTTACTGCTAAGAAATTCTAGTACCAAGGAGATATTTACCCAGAACTGTTATACTCATTCGACCAATGAGAATCCACGAAATTTTCATTTTGGGCTACAATGTACATAAATTATTTTGAAAGTTTATCAGAATTACCTTTAGGTATGGTGAACGGAGGGATGCTGAAATACTTGTCCGTTGTTTTTACATCTAAATCATGTTTACTATGACCTAGACCCAAATCATCCGGTGTATACGTATGTCTGGATAGTTTATTTATCTGTTGTAATAAAAACTTTACACACGTATCTTTAGCTACAGTAGGATTAAAATCACTTCCAACATTTGTAGGTCCTAAAAAAGAGAAATAAAACATATATTACTGATTACAGTAATCGTAAATCTAAACTTACAATTCTCTAATCTTTAATTTCCAACCCTAAAAGAATATGAGAAAGACGCGCGGCCCTACAGATAATATCAACAATCCGTGCCACCTGTGAGAGAGAGAAATGGGGTTTAACGTCCTCTCGACACAAACTAGGTCATTTCGGGACTAACGTATGGTTCTATTTTATTTCAATAATTCGCTTGTGTGTAGGGTTCTTTAGCAGTGGGAGGAAACCGGAGGACCGGCAGAAAACCCACGAGGTTGGACAGGCGACCCTACTCCTTGTCACATACAACCAGGGAATCAAAACCCCGCCAGTTGACTCAATGACAGACCGTATGATACAGCGTGCGCGTGATAACCATTCGGCCATCCAACCCCCAGCGCCACCTGGAATGAAGGGTAATATCTTTTTAATCTAAGCCCGAAGCCAGGAGATAAGACAAATATTATTCACTGCGATAAATGTAACTCCCAACTTATAATTCTCTAATTTGGTCAAATCTTATAATATTCGTAGCTTTAATAAGTGAACTTACCTGATCCTAAACTATCGAGGAAAACTAAACATGCTCCGTGGATATAGGCTACAGCTACGTCTAAATATCCACTAGTCATATCGTCACCATGGATACTGTCATCATTTACAGAACAAACGTTTATAAAGTTGACCCAACTCAATATATCCCTGATACTCACAGTCACTCTGAAATAAATTCATAAACTCTTAAAGCTACAATTTTTAAATCTTGCCTTTAAAATTCATTCTTATTAAACATCTGTGCTAAAAGCTATAAAACCAAGTCGGTAAATTCAGAGGTACTTTATCGCCCAACATCGGAAATGAAATGGGGTTTAGATCCTAGAGTTCCATATATTAGGGCTAATGAAAACGTGGCCAATATGAGGAACAAAGCATGGAGCCTCATGGTTAGTAAGCGAGCAGCATGCACACTGAGCTACCATGGTTCCAGATTGTTTTCTTCATGTTTTATAAGACGAAATGAAATTGGGTTAAACGTCCGACTGTTTTGCTCCAACTGGGCTAATGAAGACGGGCATACGCCATAAGGTGTGCTTTGAGGAAAATTTTGCGCGGGCAGCGGCACTATGGCCTACTCTTACATCGAATTCCAACTGCCTTGGGATCTTTTACGTACCCGCATATGTATATACGGGTCCTCGGTTTTTCGTCCCATCCAAATGACAAGACAGCTGTCCTTATCAGGCCCTCCATCATGCACCACTGACGTGAGGAAACCAAGCCGGAAAATCCTGATGCACTTTCTCAGCCAATGCAGGGATCGGACACACTGCCTTCTGACAAACAACACCCAGAAGAAATACTCTAATTTGAATGCATGTTAATTGAACCTTGGTATAGAAGAGAGAGAGAGAGAGAAATGGGGTTTAATGTCCACTCGACACAAACCAGGTCATTTCGGGACTAACATATGGTTCAATTTTATTTCCATAATTCAGTTGCGCATAGGGGTCTTTAGCAATGGGACGAAACCGGAGGACCCGGAGAAAACCCACGAAGTTGGACAGGCGACAGAAGAGTGAGAGAGAAATGAGGTTTAATATCAACTAGATCAGTATTTACGGGACTAACATATGGTATAATTTTATTTCAATAATTTAGTTGCACAGAGCTTTAGCAATGGGAGGAAGCTGAAGTATACCTTTTCCCGATTTCATTATTTGTGAACCATTCTATGAAATCCATGATGGCTGGTCCGATACCACTTGAACCATCTTGTTGATTAGACAGATGAAGACCTGATTTTAAATTATGTTCAATAATCTCGATCATATCTTCCCGTCTCTTCGATGGTGGACACCAAATCTCGGTAAAGCGATTTCTTAAAGCCGGCGATAACTGGAAATAAAAAATAAATATAAATAAGAGTCTAGGGAATTTCAAATCTAAGGTTAATTTAGAATTTTTACATCATTCTCAGAAAATATTAAGACAATTTCTGCTCAAGATGAAGAAAAGAACACACACTGCGACAAGTTCCAAGATGAACCTAATTGTCAAGTTGAAAAGAGCATCATCTCTAGCACAGATCAGTCCAGTGTTATGTGTGTCATGAATGAAATGGGGTTTAACGTCCTACTGTTCTGCTCAGACTGGGCTAATGAAGTCGAGCAGAAGTCATACAGTGTGCTACGAGGGTAATTTTGCCCAGACAGCAGCGCTACGGCCTATTCTTATATTTAATTCCAACAGACAAGGGATCTTTTACGTGCACGCTAAAGTGTACACAGGACCTTAAGTGGTACAAAGTGTTCCAGAAAGAGTAAGCAAACCCTGCCTGATGCATATCCAATAGGTTTTACAATTTTCTGTGAACAATAATGATTTTCTTTAAATTTACCTCTTTTTTACCAAAATCACCACCAGGGTTCATAGTCGCAAAAATTCTAAAATTTTCATCTGCAACAACATCTTCTGATTCATTCTGGTTGCCATCACCACCACCTTTCTCAGCCAATAGAAGTCTTCGCTCAGGTTCAAGGACACTGTTTAACCTTTCTAACACTGAATCATCAGCCAATGAAATCTCATCAATTAAAAACATGGCCGCCTCCTTCATGGCTAACACAAGTGGACCATCTACCCATTCAAATAACTTGTGTTCTTTATTTTCTTCATCCTGAAATTAGCAATTCCTCGTCACAGTTACTCAAAAACATTTACTGCAGCTGGATATTTTAATTTTTATTGTCATAAAATTCGTACAAAAACAAGTATGAAATGGATCAGGAATGGACCCAATCTGATTAAAATACAGATCCTAAATCGGTACGTTTTTATAGTTCAAAATTTCGTTTTACTTGTCTTTAAACACCAATAAGTACATGGGACCTCATTTGTTTTTTGTTTTTTTGTTAAATCGAACAACTAGACACTGTCCTTGTCAGACCTTCCGTCCTGCACCACTGACAAGAGGAGAACATGCTGAAAAATTCTGATGACATTTCTCGGCCAAGACCGGGAGAGCCAAGCCAGTGCAGAGAGAAGAGAGAGAGAGAAATGGGGTTTAACATCCACTCGACACAAACTAGGTCATTTCGGGACTCACATATGGTTCAATTTTATTCCAATAATCCCCTTGCGCATAGGGGTCTTTAGCAGTGGGAGGAAACAGGAGGGCCCAGGGAAAACCCACGAGGTTGGACAGGCGACCCTACTCCTTGTCAAGTACAACTGGGGAATCGAAAATGCGCCAGTTGACTCAATGACAGCACGCACATGCTAACCATGCGAGTCAGCAAGATTAGTAGTGCTTTTACAATGCTAACAATGGCTGTATGGATGGAACCTCAGTGTTTTGCATTGTTTCGATTAAAACTGTTAACCTTGCAGGTCCCACGCCCCAAAGTAATGGGAAAACGGCTATTTGTCCACTATGTGTTTGAAATAGGGAGTTTCTTCACGAATTATAGCCTTCATTCATAATGTGTCATTTCAATGTCTCTAGAATTAGTCCTCAAGAGTCCAAACCAAATGATTGCTACAGCCTTACTGAATCGTTTTTACTTACCTCATCAATAGTATGAGACCTGACCGGTCGTAATCCTCCGAGGAAATCAGCACTTTCTGTATGTAGATGACAGTTGACGCCATATAATTTACTTTGTTTTAATGCAGCGTACAATTGACAGACAGTCGTCTTACCGCAACTAAATTACAAAACACATGGGTTTAAATACAACACCAGAGGTCTTTAATTAGCAGTGTGAGGAAACATGACAACCTAGAGGTCTTAATTAACAGTGGGAGTAAACATGACAACCTAGAGGTCTTTAATTAGCAGTGGGAGGAAACATGACAACCTAGAGGTCTTTAATTAGCAGTGGGAGGAAACACAGGTTTTTATTTAGCAGTGGGAGGAGCCATCAAAACTCAGGGGTTTTTTAGCATAGGGAGGAAACCAAGAGGTCTGTACAGCAGTGGTAGGAAACTGGAAAAAGAACATTTCATTATCTTATGTTTGTTTGGCTTGGATTTGTCTTTTTCTTTTTTTTTTTAGACTAACAAGGAGAATCCTCAAAAATTGAGAAGAAGCATATCTGTCAATAGGCATGGAGTGAAAATTTAAGTTTAATTAACAACGATCCGTTAATGGAGTAAATCCAATAATCAACATACCCAGTTTCACCAACCAATAACACAGGCTCTTTAAATCTAATAGCTTGTCCAATCAAAACAGCCAATCTACGCATACTGTAGGTCCATACCACATGTTGAAAGCCTGGTTGTGATTGGCCTAAGGCAGTATTTAGAAGTGAAGCCGTTGTGGTGGATGTCTCAGAGTTTAAGTTGAACAATCGGCCAGGATCGACCTTCCGTTTAAAATGTTTGTTTATAACTTCCTGGATGACCTGGCATTCTTCAGGTTTTCTCACTCGTCCAGCCAACAACATATAACCTGGAACAATAAATTTCAAACTATCAATCATCCATTTAAAGTTGGGTTTGCCTAGAATGTCTGGTCTTGAATAAAGACCACTATTAAATGCTGTGGGGTTTTTGTTTAAGAGTCTCAACAGGCTTCCCGTCTTCATTAGCCCAGTCGGAGCAGAAAAGTAGGACATTAAACCCCATTTCATTTCTCAACAGGCTTAATACTGAACAGCATAGGAAATGAAATGAAATGGGGTTTAATGTCCTACTGTTCTGCTCCAAACTAGGCTAATAAAGACGGGCATACGCCATACAGTGTGCTATGAGGGAAATTTTGCCATTGGACATGATTACATTTTTAATCTAAAATTTTGTGAGTAAGTTTAACAGTTTTCAGCAACTATATATCGTAAAAAATAATTGTAAATGTCCATTAACAAGATTTTTAAAAGATTTATTTTTGTTACCGTGATCTGCTAGATGTTGGTCCCAATCATAATATTTTTTTGATGGCTGAACATCCGGTGAATTATATCTTTCAGCCCAACGAAATAAATCTCTTAGCGTCATAAAGCCTTGTTTACCAGCAAATACACCAGAACTACGTCGCCGTGTCTGAAAATAAACCAGATGTGAAATATGGAGTGACCGTGACTTGGTGAGTATAAGGCACTGGACAAGGGAAGAGAGAGAGAGAGAGTGAGGGGAGAGAGAGAGAGAGAGAGAGGGGATTAAATCCATTCGACACAAACCAGGTCATTTCGGGACTAACATATGGTTCAATTTTATTTCAATAATTCGCTTGTGCATAGGGGTCTTTAGCAGAGGGAAAAAATAAGAGGACCCAGAGAAAACCCATGAGGTTAGACAGGCAATCCTACTCCTTGTCACGTACAACTGGGGAATCAAAACCACGCCAGTTGACTCAATGACAGGCCTTATGATACAACACACTAACCATTCTGCCCTTCCCCCCACTATTAAGGAGGTGCGTGGTTTGATAAGTGTTGACTAAAAAGGTTTCTATGATTATCAGTACAATAAAAATAGGTAATTGCCACTGTAACCTGGGTATCCTTTAATCTTGTATATTTAGGCCTAATTTCTTTCACATTCATTGAATATCAAATCTTTGTTTGAAAATTTGTAAAAATCGTCTAAATTTAATTTTTATATATCAGTAATCAATTGGTTTCTTTATTTTCAAACAATGATTAGGAAATGAAACGCTTGTAAATTGGATACTCAATATCAAAATTAAATAGGTTTAAACTAGTCACAAGTACAAATTAGACGATTTTCGGTGATTTTAGACGATTTTTACGAATTTTTCGCTGTCCCTATCTGTAATAAAGAGTGATAAAAGTATGTACCTGCCTTTACTAAAGAGAGTTAACAGTATGTACCTACCCTTACTAACAACAGGTAAAAGTATGTACCTACCTTTACAAAAGAGAGGTAAAAGTATGTACCTACCTTTACTAACAACAGCTAAAAGTATGTACCTACCTTTACAAAAGAGTGGTAAAAGTATGTACCTACCTTTACTAACAACAGCTAAAAGTATGTACCTACCTTTACAAAAGAGAGGTAAAAGTATGTACCTACCTTTACTAACAACAGCTAAAAGTATGTACCTACATGTACTATAAAGAAGTAACAGTATATACCTACCTTTACTAACGAAAGGTAAATGTACCTACCTGTAATTCCAACATAACGGCTACGAGTCGTTTAGCGTAAGACTGTGGTATAGAACATCGCAGGTGTAAAATATTCTCTAACTCAATACTTGGTATCTCATCAAAATGTAACTCAATAAAACGATTTCTAAATGCCCTGGATAATATCTGAAAAAATATATGTTATTAAAGTTGATCAGTTGTGTAACACAAACTAGGTCATTTAGGGACTAACATATGGTCCAATTTTATTTCCATAATTCCCTAGCGCGTAGGGGTCTTTAGCAGTGGGAGGAACTAGAGGACCCAGAGAAAACACATGAGGTTGGACAGGCGACCTTACTCCTTGTCACGTACAATTGGGGAATCGAAACCACCCCAGTTGACTCAATGACAGACCTTATGAAACAGCGAGCACATGCTAACCATTCAGCCATCCACACCCCCCTGTTGTTTAACAGAGAGTATAGGATTGACTGTCCAGCAAAATAAAAGAAAGCACACAGTAACAATCTAAAATATTAAATTCGGTGACAAGGCCTAAAAATTATGTTAAAGTAAGGTTCAAAGTTCATAAACGACATGAAAACATACACTTAAAAATTATTTTAAAGCCAGTTTCAAGTTCTTTATGACAAGATTAAAATGATTTTAAAGTAAGTTTCAAAGTTCTTTACATCGAGATAAAAATGATTTTAAAGTGATCTTTAAAGTTGTTTACAACGACATAAAAACAAGCAAAAAGAATTCACAAAGGACAAAAATTAGAGCAAGAAATATAATTACTAGGAACAGTGAAATAAATGTTGCTAAGAATGTCATTTAAATTACTACCTTTCGGCCTCCATATTGTCCGGCTGGATTCTGGGTAGCAAATAACATGAATTTCCTGTGAGCTTTGACCGTTAACTGGGTCTCGGGTATAAATAGTTCTCTATTATCATCTAATAACTATAAATAAACAAACACAGTATTACTACAAAAATAAATAGTTCCTAAGACCCGGTTTAAAAAACTCCTGAAGGTCTTTCTTCATCTAAGCTGAGATTTGAATTAGGGATCAATGAAATGAAATGGGGTTTAACGTCCTACTGTTCTGCTCCCAACTGGGCTACGCCATACAGTGTGGTATGCGGAAAATTTTGCCCGGAGAGCGACACTACGGCCTATTCTTAGATCGAATACCAACTGTCAAGGGATCTTTTACATGCACGCCAGTGTGTACACAGGACCTCGGTTTTTCATCCTATCCGAACGACTAGACAGCTGTCCTTGTCAGGCCCTCCGTCCTGCATCACTGACAAGGGGGATTAATATAAACAATTCTCTACTATCATCTAATAACTACAAATATAAACTATTATCGTCTTACTAGGAAAGACAATTCAGATTAAAAATTAAATCAACTTACTCTATTTAAAGCTTCTAACACATCAGTTGGAGCCAAATTCAACTCATCTAAAATAATCCATTGACCTTTTCTCATAGCCTCGACTAAAACCCCTGTGAAAACACAAAAAATATGATATTAACACTCTGTCAACAGGATTTATTTTAATATTTTTCTCAAATCAGAATTTTTTGTCCGTCAATGTTGAAAATTGAAGCATTTATAACGTTTGACTACTATTAAAAAATTAAATGTCCTGAAATCCAAACATATGATTGGTATTAAAAATTTCAGTCCCAAGAAATTCAAATATTTAGTTTGCCAGGAATTCAAATGTACAACTTTATTATATCTAATTAAAAAAATAATATATAATATCCATTTAATGCTCTTTTTCTCATAAAAACAATATAGAAATTAAAATAATCAAGAAATCAAATTATATCCATTTAAAACATTTTATTTCTGCTATTAATCAATATTTTGTAACTTGAACTCTGATAAATCAACAACAAGATATTGTTGATTTTCTACAGAATTAAAGTTTGTTTATTCTAGCCAGTTTGGGCAACACATTATAATATATATAACATGCTTAAAGTTTGGACAGGGCACAAACTGGCATATTTCATCGAATATTGTCACACTCTACGAATAACTAAATACAAACAAAAATATAATATAAAATATTGTTAGTATAACGAATGCTGTCATGATAATTAACAAAGTTTTGATTATCCATTTTTTGCGGTTAATCATCAATCAGCGTTGAAAAGCAGATCGGATTCAAATCCAATGAAAATCAGACACATAAGATGACATTGAGAGTTGATTATGGCCTGGATAAGTTAATAAATGTCTAATTAATAGTTTATATAACATTTATGGCCTAAAGAAAGATTTAGCTCTTGTGAAATATTTTTTTAAGTCTGGTGAGTTAGAGAGACAGAGAGATGGGATTTAACATCCACTCAACACAAACTAGGTCATTTCGGGACTAAAATATGGTTTAATTTTATTTCAATAATTCGCTTGGACGTAGGGGTCTTTACAGCGGGAGGAAACCGGAGGACCCGGAGAAAACCCACAAGGTTGGACAGGTAACCTTACTTCTTGTCACGTACAACCGGTGAATCGCAAACCACGCCAGTTGACTCAATTTGGCCATCCATCTCCCCCCTGATGAGTTTGAACTGAATGTACTAAGAGAAATCAGGGGCGGCTACCAAACAATCATAGACGTTCAGTTTTACATAAATATAATTAGTTTCCTTTACCTTCTTTAAAGACCAGTTTTCCTGCCTCATCAGCTGCGTAACATCCGACGTATTCCTGGAGATCTGTATGTTCATGGTTATTTACACGGACACACACGTTACCAGTAGACTTGGCTAACCAGGTAATTAAACTAGTTTTACCAACAGATGTTTCACCTTGTAATAAAACTGGATGTTGGCTAAAAGTAGAACAAATCAATAATTAATGAAAATGGGTTTTAGGTCGCAAAAAAAAATAAAAAAATTTTGTTCATGACCAGCCCAGACCCCCCCCCAATTGTTGAACTTTTTTATTTCAAAATTAGAAGAAAAAAAAATTTGCTCATACGAAATATAAAGAAAAATAAAATTGTCCAATAAATTTGACTGCCTCAATGTTCTTTTTTTTATTTACGGCAGTTGGTAAACAGGGGGTTAAAATCCCTAGAGTTCTGCACTACCAGAGAAGAGAACACCAGACAGTTCAGTGGATTCAGTATTTCATTACGCACAGGGCCCGTATATCAAAAGGATCCTTAGATGCAGGTATAAACCCATCTTCAGTAGAAGGCTTGATCGCACTTTAACTCTGTACATCAAGTCCTTCATGTAATACCCTGCATATTTCGGCACTAATTTCGATTGGGTATTCCTCTGCTTTCCCGATCATCGCGAATACCAAGTCTTGCGTTTTCCAGTTAAATGTCTACCCGTGATAATCGAGTTGCAAAGTTCAAGGCTTCCGGGGAGGTCACTATGTCAACCTCTGATTGTACGCTGCTGTTCATGTGTCTGCAGATAACGTAGCTATAAGTTCGGGAATTGTAAAGTAAGAATATGTAAAACTCGCAGTCGTTGCTTCTGGAACATGGTATGAACCATGGGATACAATTCAGCTATATAATTCAACAAGAGGCTCGAGGTCCATCGGTTAATAAATATGCCGTAAAGGTAGCTCATTTTTCATCCATCTTCTGACGAATCAAATACATCACTTACCCTGCAGATACAATCCTGGACAAATCACGCAGATTGGCTCGAACTGATGGCGTCAGAATATAGCCTTCGGGTACAACTGGTTCTGAAGCACCCTGGGATATCCAATATCCTTCAAACAACAGATGTTTACCACTTGTAGGTTCTGGAAGACTGTGACTTAACAACGATTTAACGTTTGAGTTTCCGATGACATGTTTACAGACTAGCTGTTCAACGACAGGATGAGATTTTCTATCTAACTGGGTCAAAAAACTTAAACAAAATCCCTGAAAAATATAAAAACAAATCAAATAAAATATCCCAAAAAATCAATCATAAATACAGGGAGAGAGAGAGAGAGAGGTGGGGTTTAACGTCCACTCGACACAAACTAGGTCATTTCGGGACAACAAATGGTTCAATTTTATTTCAATAATTCGCTTGAGGGTAGGGGTCTTTTAGCAGTGGGAGGAAACCCGAGAACCTGGTAAAACCCCACGATGTTGGACAGCGACCCTACTCCTTGTCATGTACAACCGGGACTCAATGACGGGCCTTATGATACAGTGGGCACATGCTAACCATTCAGCCATCCGCCCCCCACCCCCCATAAATACAGGCATACACGGGTAGTCATGCGATGTTTCCATAACAGAGTTTCGTGAAACTGTAAGTAATATAATATTGTAAGTAGTAGTGCCATCTCCAAATTTCGAATTGTAATGAAATGTGGTTTAACTTCCTACTGTTCTGCTCCGACTGGGCTAATGAAGACGGGCATATGCCATACAGTGTGCTATGAGGGAAATTTTGCCCAGGCAGCAGGACTATGGCCTACTCTTATATCGAATTCCAACTCCAAAGGGATCTTTTATGTGCACGGCAATGTATACACTGGAAAATCACGATGAAGTTTCTCGGCCAATGCAGGGATCGATCACGGAAATATAAATGATTTGATATACTAGTACTGTCCTCCTTCCTGCACCCCTGACAAGGAGAAACCACGCCGAAAAATCACGATGAACTTTCTCGTCCAATGCAGGGATCGAACACGTGACATCCAGACAAGCGAGCCAGGATCTTACCCACTTAGCCATCGTGGCTCCCCACACCAGTATTGGGGCAGTTCTAGTGTTGCTAGAAACCAAAAACCCTAAACAGACAAACGACAATCACATATAGATATACTTTGAAGGTACAAATCAAAAAGAAAATGTTGAACTTGTGACTGACAAAACCAAGTTTATAAAATTTAATTGTTTATTTGTTTTAAGATAATGACCATACCTCATATAATGATCTGGATGACTGACCACATGGATTCGTTGCTGCGTATCTTAAAGCTCGACATAATGTTCTTAAACTAAAATATAAACAATATTTACGATTAGAGAAAAAGAGGCGGACAAGAAAGTCAACTTCAAACAATATTTACGATCAGAGGAAAAAATGTCAGCAAGGTAAATTTGAGACTAACAGTTGGTACAATTTTATTTCTGGGGTCTTTAGCAGTGGGAGGAAACCGAAGGGAGGACCCGGAGAAAATCCATGAGGTTAGACAGGCGACCCTACTCCTTGTCACGTACAACCGGGGATTCGAAAAACCTTGCTAGTTGACTCTATGACAGGCCTCATGCTAACCATTTGGCCATCCAACAACCCCATCATTAAAGTAAAATCAGTCTGTTATTAGTGGATCTCGTTAAATTCACAATCCGAACAAATTGGTGGGGTCTAGATCAATATAAATCAGTGGGTTATAAATAAATTAAACGAAACTCCAATTGACTACCTACCTATAATGAGGTTTATGACCCGTACCATCAACCAAGGATTTATTAGCTGCTGTACGAATTGATGCGTAGAATTGTACGATACCCGACAGATGATTGGCTGTTAACGCTAATCCAGATAAATAATCATTAATCAGTATACGTAGATCTGATTCATCCGTTAATTCTTCTACATAAAACTCTGTAAACCTGAACGACAAGAAAAACAAATAACTTATTACACTGTGATCTGGGTTATATTTAATCGTGTGTATTTCTCAATCACTGGGTTGTTTAATTTTTAACAGTGATTGAGAAATTAAACGCTTGTAAATTGGACACTCATTATCAAATTGAATCAGTCAGCTTTAAACTGGACACAAGTACAAATTAGACAATTTTTAAATAAAGATTTGATATTAAATGAATGTGAAAGAAATTAGTGCTAAATACACAAGATTAAACTCTGTAAACCTGAACGACAAAGAAGGAATCATTTATTACTTTCATCATAAAATAAATATATTATTAGTTTCACCCAATACAAATTACTGTAAAAACATGAAATAACTCAGATTTAATAATAAACGCATCAAGAAATAAATACAGGGTCGTCATCAAGAAATTGTTGGTAAGTATAAAATGTTCCATGTATTCTATCATTACAGATTTATTAGACCAACACTGATAAATGTCTTTATTCCATTTATGTAGGTCAAAAAAAGTTCCTCTGAATATTCAAACATTGTCCCCCTCCCGCCCCCCTCCCATCCCCCTGTTGGTGATGCAAGACGGAGGAAGGGCCTGGCAATGATAACCCACTGGCCACAAATCTTAACTGGTCTTCAAAATTAGCGGCCATTTTATTTAATTATTGTTGGTGTATGAATATAGATAACCCAACTGTTCCTAATACCAGTTGTACGAATATAGATAACCCACCTGTTCCTAATACCAGTTGTATGAATATAGATAACACACCTGTTCCTAATACCAGTTGTATGAATATAGATAACACACCTGTTCCTAATACCAGGTGTATGAATATAGATAACTCACCTGTTCCTAATACCAGGTGTTAAATCTTTTTTACCAACATCTGTAGCAGGATTCATACAAGCAAATAAACGGAAATTCTCATGTCGGACGACTGGCTCTATATCACTGTAAATATAAAAATTAAACATTAATTAATCAAAAAACTGTTGTGCCAGTTGGGGAGATGTCCTATGTGTACGATGTCCTAGTCAATTGGGTAGTAATTGTCTGGTACTTTGAGCATAATCCTTTGTGAAGATAATTAAAGTGCCTTATAATATTATTAACATTGGCAGTTGTGTAACAGGTTATAAGTCAGTCGAAAGAACAAACCATCTGCCTAATCTATTTTGAAGTCTTATCCCAAGCCTAGACATTTCTTCCACTAATGAAATGAAATGAGGTTTAACATCCTACTGTTCTGCTCCGACTGGGCTAATGAAGATGCTGATTCACTGATAAAATTACTTACAGACTTTATTTTGGTAGATTTTCAAATATGAATGTCACGCCGTAATAAATGAAATGAAATGGAGTTTCATGTCCTACTGTTCTGCTCCAAATGGGCTAATGAAGACGGACATATGCCATACAGTATGCTATGAGGGAAATTTTGCCTGGACAACGGCGCTATGGCCTACTCTTATTTCGAATTCCAAATATGCCTGCACGCCAATGTGTACAAGGGACCATCCGAACGACTAGACAGCTGTCCTTGTCAGACCCTCCGTACTGCACCACTGACAAGGAGGAACCACGATGGAACATCCCAATGAACTTTCTTGGTCAACACCGGGATCAAACATGCGACCTCCAGACTAGCGAGCCAGCACCTTACTAACTTAGCCACCATGGCTCCTATAATATGTACACAAATGGTCTGTTAGAGTGTGTAACTTACCCTCTCTCCGTTAGTATAATGGAACCTGTCGTACTTTCTAACAGTCCACACAAACATTCTAAAGTCTCAGCTGAAGCTAAATTTATTTCATCTAATAAAACCCAATCACCCTGTTTAATAGCTTTAACTAACGTCCCCTGAAAAATAAAAACATGTATACAATCATGTTGAAGACAAACACACCATGAACTTTGTTATAAAGGATTACTCAATTTCCAATTTCCAACTATCTGGTGATTTTTAACTTTTTCTTATCCAAATATTACCTTGCCTTGCTCTTCGTCTTGCAACACCGAAAGGGAGAAGCCGGGTTGCAGAGTCCTAAGAACTTGAGTAAGTGGCATACTCAACAAACCAGTCGAAAACACTAAGTATAATTCAGGAATTTTGAGAAGTGTTTATTCTGCTTCCATTTAATGGAATTGAATCGATTTATTTAGTCTTCGTGTGTATGACAGATGTGAAATGTTATAGAACAGAATTACAAAACAATATACTAATTTTTGGATATGGGGGCCATTCAGGACTGGGATTTATTCTCTAAGTATCAAGTAGAATGAATGAAAGACCAGAATGAATGACAGACCTCATTTAATCACCATTAGCGGATGCAAAGACGCTAAAACAGTGCTAAAATAGGAAAATAGCATGTTAGATTTGAACTAAAATGCAAAATTTGCGCCTACGGTAATTTAGTTAAAAAAGCAAATTTTAAAACTTGAATTTTTCTATAACTTAATTCTCTGAAAAGGTTGAAAATGTTTACGATAAAATTTTACGTAAGACGCCATTTTGATGTGTATAGACTCACTTTCCTTTAACAAATCGGCCACGCATAACTTAACCGATGAAATAACAATACGTCACCTTTCCTGATAAATAATATATGCAAAACTGAAACCATATGATATTACTGACCAATCATATTGACACTAAGAAGGCGAATGGGCCATTTCACACAGTTTACGCAGCCGTAATTAAAATACTACTGACGTAGTATTTTGGTGTAAACAATGATTACCGCATTTCGTAAACGCAAAAAACAATAAAATACACATTTGTAAACAAGTGGTGGTTAAATGGACAAAGGTTCAAACGATTAAATTTTGTTCCAATACTTCCATTTGGCACCAGGCAGAAAAATGATGTATTAATTTTAGTTTGTTTGCGTGATTACAACTAGAACTACTGAAAGTTTTGGCTTGTTACACTTTGTTTTTGCTTCTAATTTTAAAAATAATAAGCAAAAAATTGCTTCCGGTATTGGAAATACGATTGGAACCCTGCACTACATCAATACCCAATACTCCCCCTACGGCCCCAAACCCCCTAAAACTGATGGCTTTATCTAATGTTAACCTTTGACATACCTCAATAAAAGTAAAAGCTAGAACATTTTCTGTTTGTTTTATCTGGATCTTTAACTGTTGTTGACGTCGCTCAATCGTTTTCCACTTGGACAACAAAATTTCTTCTGTAATGACAGGTTTAAAAATCAAAATACACATACATGAAATACGGTACCACAGTCAGTTGAGGTTTGTCCAACATATTTCACTTATTAAAGGAAGCACTGCCGATCTCTACCTTATTCTTCTTATTATATTGAGAAAGAGAGAGAGAGAGTTATTTTGGGACTAACATATGGTTCAATTTTATTTCAATAATTAGCTTGCACGAACGGGTCTTTAGCAGTGGGAGGAAACCGGAGAAATCCGAAGGAGGAAAGCTTGGATTATTAATATGAACTGCCAACAGTCAAACAACCTAATTCACATGAAAATGCTGTGAACTATTCTTCCCATGGGAGAGAGAGAGAGAGAGAGAGAGAGAGAGAGAGAGAGATTAACACAAACTAGGTCATTTCAGGACTAACATATGGTTCAATTTCATATCATTTAACTCACCTTTCTGGAATTTTTTAAGAGCAGATGTTGTTGTATGATCAATTAACTGTAGCAAATCTGACCATTTTCTTTTCGAAAAACAATCCTTTATAAAAAAAAAATGTTATATAAAGATATTGATTTATTGTTTCCAGAAAATAAGTTTGATTTCAATAGTTTGCTTGTCTGTAGGGGTCTTTAGTAGTGGTAGGAAAGCAGATGATCCAGAGATTTGGCAGGTAACCCTACTTCTTGTCATGTAGCAAAGCCACACCATTTGACCCAAGGACAGACCTTATGGTCTTACACCCACAGCTTGAGGTAACACCCATGGCAAGGGGTCCATATAAGTTAATATCAATACATTATCAATAAAATATGCTGGGTTGATTTGGGTGGTTGAAGATCTCCTGGAGACGCCCAGTGGTATGATATATGGTTGAATCGATGTATTGCGATTCATCTTCTCACGATTCTAGTATTGAATCGCTACGCTATGAATCCATTTTTCATGATTCTTTTTTTATGGTATTGCTAGCCCGCATTACACAAGAGCTAAATCTGCCAATTGCAGGTCTTTTTATAAGGCTGAAATGTTATCTAAATTATTAATTAGACATTAATTAACTTTTCCAGACCATAATCAACTCTCGATGGCATTAAGAGCCCAGTCTGCTGCTTCTGATTAAATCATAAAATGGATAATCGAGGCTTTTTTTATCGTACAGACTTTAGTAATGATGATCGAGGCTAGGCCCAAAATTCAATCGCTAAATACTCGGTTCAAGGTGGATCAATTTAACTGATATTTTCAGCAAATTTCCTTTACTTTATCTAGTTTTCAAATATTATAGTGAGAACTGCAAGCTCTTTATCTAATCTCCCATAATGTATCTTTAATTATCCATGTCACGCATTATCCATAAGTACACTAACACACTTAAATTGTTTTGTCCATATTTTGATCCACATCAATATCGTGATATAAATCACTTATTTCTTCGAAATCAACAGGACTAAAAATATCAATTATTCATTTATCCTGTTGTTTTCTTGGTAAATATTAACCTGGTTATGAATTGTGATATGAATTGTAAGCGTGACTGCAGTGGTAATACCCAGCACTAGTGCACCCCTAGTCTGTTTTTACCATGAATTGTTCTTACCTGGATATGTCCAAGAAATTTGGCATTTTGTTTTCTGGAGAAACTTTGACAGAAAAGAATTTCAAATTCTTCTCTAAACGGTAAAATTAGAAACTTTATATCGACTGGTTTAAACCTAAAAATAAACATTGATTGGTTCAATGACAAACAGCGTGATTTAAAATATAATTTTCTCCTTTACTTATATCAATAATTTTAAATTTTAAGACAATTTCACTTATATCAGTAGTTTCATATACTAAACCAACTTATTCATATTATTAAGGAATAGTGGTCTGAATCCTTCTTGAATTCTTTGTGTTAATTGAGTTACTTCCCTTAATAACTAAAAGGCTTTGATCCTAGATGGAATTCTGGGATGGAATGAAATGCAAGATGGCCGATTTTAATTAGCCCTTCTGATTGTCATCAACAATCCAGGCCATCTTGTGGTCTATACACACCAATACCACAATATCTATATATGGTATGGATGAGTAAAATACAGACGACATTAATACAGATTATGTTTATTCTTCGACGTATAACATTCATACATGTTGGAGCCATCATACTATCCTCATTACGTCACAACCGGTATACAGTGACTAATAATAATTGTAGTTACCTCCCTTACATAATTATAATACATCAAGACACCACACTATACATCTAGATGATTAAAGTATATTTGGTTAAAACTTGTTATAAATATATTTCATACCCTCCAAGCAGATCTGTACTATCGCTCTGTTGATTCATATTCACTACATGTAATTTATGTCCTGAGAAAAAATAAAATAATTTAGGTTCAGTTTAATGACACAAGTTCAACACTCCCGTCAAAAGGCAAAATCTAGTAACTCACTTTTTTTATCAAAATTGAGTTAGGATCAAATTTGTAGTTACTAGGGTATGTGCTTCCTGTTGTTGTACTAGATATTCCAATCTTTTGATTCTGTTAGCAGTTACACCCATGACACAACCTAGCAACTTCCTTCATTTGCCTAGAATACCACAGCAAAACCTAGTAACTCAATAGTCAAATCAATGGGTGAGCTGGGGTTTAATATTCATTCTTTACATTTTCCTTTGTTTTCTCAAAATAAGAAAAAAGTGTGTTACTAGGTTTTGCCTTTTGATGGGAGATTACTGTTCTGCACCAACAGAAAATGGGCAAATATACGCCAAAGGGTGTATTATCAGAGCAATTTTACCCAGGCAGCAGTGCTACGATGAATTTTAACATTATTTTTCTCTGCCAATCATGGGAGTAAACCCAAGATCTGTTTAGTGAACCACAGCCTTGTCTATACTTATTAGCTTGTAAAATGAAATGAAATGGGGTAACTTTGATGTCTTACAGTTCTGCTCCAATTAGGCTAATGAAATGAAATGGGGTTTAACGTCCTACTGTTCTGCTCCGACTGGGCTAATGAAGATGGGCATACACCATACAGTGTGCTATGAGGGTAATTTTGCCCAGGCAGCGAGACTATGACCTACTCTTATATCGAACTCCAACTGTCAAGGGATCTTTTACGTACGTGCATGCCAATGTATACACAGGAACTTGGTTTTTCATCCCATCCGAATGACTAGACAGCTGTCATTGTCAGGTCCTATATCCTGCACAACTGAAAAGTGGAAACCACAACAGAAAATCCTGGTGATATATACTTGTAAAATACAAAGTAATTTCAAATTTTAGGAAATATTTTATTTACCAAGTTGTTGTGCCAGGAATTGAACAGATGAAGTCTTTCCTGTACCAGTTTCACCCACCAATAAAACAGGTTCGTTATGAGTCAGACAGACGCCAACCTTCTCTAATAACGATACAGACTGCCGAGTGAACGAAAATGTTGAAAAACTTCTGAAATAAAATTTTTAAAATATTCAATTCCTTTTCCATATTCCTGTGTTTGGAATCAACCTTTAATATTTCTAAAGTCCATTCAAGACTTACCAAGTCATTTCGGGGCTAACATATGGTTCAATTTTATTTCAATAATTCGGTTTTGTAGGGATCTTTAGCAGTGAAAGGAAACTGAAAATCCGTAGAAAACCTAAAAGGTTGGACAGACGACCTTACTCCTTGTCAAATACACCCGGGAATCGATACCACGCCAGTTGACTCAATGATAGGCCTTATGATACAACGTGCATGCACTAACCATTCGGCCTTCCACCCCCACTTTATCTAATAGAACTTTATTACAATTCAAATGAAATGGAGTTGAACACCCTACTCTTCTGTACCAAGTGTGTTAATAATGATGGCAATCCAATATGAAAAATTCTGCTACAGAGCCATAGTTAAATTTAAAATACCATAACCATCAAACTCTATCAAAATATTATGAAAGAAACTGTATGACCACTATAACAATAGTATATTTTAAACTTGTCGTCAGAATTCTTACGAATACTGTGATAGAAATAGAAAATCTCCTACAAGTCTTTTTACTTTATCGATGTGTGTTGATATTTTTTAATATCAAAAAAGATGAGTAGGAGATTTTATTTATCACCCAATCCTTTCTTACATGCACAAATTAATAAATATAATTCTTTGCTATAGATTTCACTATTACAAATGATATCTACTGTATAATATGTTATTGGGTGATAGAAATGTCTATATTAGGAGTGTTTTAAACTTATCTTACCTGTTGATATTAGCATCTGTTGTATGTATTTTAGGTACAGAAACTCGACCAACCGTAAACAGATCTGATGTTATTTCTATATCAGGTTTATATTTATTACAATAATACTCAGCCTGGAAAAAATACAAATATATCTATTTTGCAACAGAGCAGAAGATTGGCTGTGTATTAATGCACACCATTTCAACTAAGGTTATCAAATCATTATCAGATGATAAACAGGGTTAGTACATCCATACTTCATGAGGTTTAACGTCCTACTATTCTGTTCCGACTGGGCTAATGAAGACGGGCAAATGCCATACAGTGTGCTATGAAGGGTAATTTTGCCAGGACAGCGGGGCTATGGCTTACTCTTATTTCAAATTCCAAATGAAAAAAAATGAAATGGAGTTTAACGTCCTACTGTTCTGCTCCTAAGCTGGGCTAATGAAGATGGGCATACGCCATACAGTGTGCTATGAGGGAAATTTTGCCCGGGCAGCGGCGCTACGGCCTACTCTTATATTGAATTCCAACTGCCAAGGGATCTTTTACGTGCAGGCCAATGTATACACGGGACCTCGGTTTTTCGTCCCATCAGAACGACAGCTGTCTTTGTCAGGCCCTCCATCCTGCATCACTGACAAGGGGAAACCACGCCAGAAAATCTGGTAGAACTTTCTAGGCCAATGCAGGGATCGAACACCCGACCTCCAGGCTAGCGAGCCAGCGTCTTACCCACGTGATCCCACTTCAAATTCCAACTATCAAAGGTTCTTTTATATGCATGCATTTGTGTACGCAGGACCTCGTTTATTTATCCCATTCGAATGACTAAACAATCTGTCCTTGTCAGGGGAAACCATGCCGGAAAATCTTGAACTTTCTCGTCAAACACCGAGAGTGAACACATGACCTCCATGCTAGCGGGCCAGAGTCTTACCCACTTAGCCACTGTGGCTCCATCATTAGTCAGAAAAAAAAAAGAAAAAAAAAAGAATTCCACACATTCAACCTACCTTGACTTTATTTATATTAAGCTTCGCCCCGATAGCTTCTGCTACAGCCAAGCGTTTATCAGGTTTTGCGATACAGCTAACAAAACAATCGCACGCCTCCTGGAAAACTTTATTAGCTGTTGAAGCAGACTGGACATCAAAGTCTACACTGATTCGTCCACACCAAGTCATAAGATCTCTGGCAATTAAAGAATAAAAATCAATTAATAATAACAAGAGAGAGAGAAATGGGGTTTAACGTCCACTCAACACAAACTAGGTCATTTTGGGACTAACATATGGTTCAATTTTATTTTAATAATTTGCTTGCTCGTAGAAGTCTTTAGCAGTGGGAGGGAACCCACGAGGTTGGACAGACGAACCTACTCCTTGTCGCGTACAACCGGGAAATCAAAATCACGCCAGTTGACCCAATGACAGACACACTAACCATTTGGTCATCCAACCCCCCAATATAATAACAATATCAATAAGTTCTATGAGGAGATTTTAAGTTTCCTCTCGTGAGTGGTGCGGGACAGAGGGCATGGTAAGGAACAGTGTATAGTTCTTCAAATGAAAAAAATTAAGTCCCATGTACACACTGGCTCTCACATAAAAGAACCCTTCACAGTTGGAATTTTAAATAATTTCCTTTAATAGCCAGAATCAACGAAGATATTAAACTCCATTTTGTTTCATTTCAATGAAGTGAGTGTGCCTGGATCAAGATGGCAGGTATTGCCAATTCAAGCATGACATTGGCAAAGATTGATAACTCAACAACACTTACTAGTAATAATTCACGGCAAGTTCTCAAATAACGAAACTGAAATTATCAAAGTATTTAAATCAACCGACAAGCAATTACCTTGTAGATATAAGTCTTCCGTCTAAAGAGATAAATTTACCCGTGGTATCTATTTCTAGTGATGATGTAATATCTGTATCTATGTCATGTTTTCCAGCCGACAGTAGAAAATACACGTCTAAAATACGATCTTTTATAGATTCTAAACACGGATATCGACATACAATCACCTGAAAACATTAATAAAAAAAATATTAAACTTGAGAAACTAAATAAATTCTAGGTTATTTTTCAATCTAGATGTTATATGTACAGCATCCATATTGACTAACATCTAAAAACATTGAGATGGTGTCCCTTTTCAAGAAGTTGGACTATTACAGGGTTCAAAGGCCGCGATGAAGAGGAGATAACTGTCATCATTCAAAAGAGTTTGGAAGTGACATAGGCCTGTTGGTATTGCATCACCACTTTGGAAGTTACACTACCTCTGCTTTCACAAAACGCCCATAAGGATGCACTGCGAGACTCTTCCAGATCAGAGAGAGAGAGAGAGAAATGGGGTTTAACGTCCACTCGACACTAGGTCATTTCGGGACTAACATATGGTTTAATTTTACTTACATAATTCGCTTGCGCGTAGGGGTCTTTAGCAGTGGGAGGAAACAGGAGGACCCGGAGAAAACCCACGAGGTTGGACAGGCGACCCTACACGTACAACCGGGGATTCGAAACCACGCCAGTCGACTCAATGACAGACTTTATGATACAGCGCGCGCACGCTAAGCATTCAACCATCCACCCCCCCTCTTCCAGATCAACAGTTTGTGTATATTACCTGAGCTAATTCTCTTCTACTTAAAGGTTCAACATGTATCTTCGTCCACATCTTCTCCAATAAAACGGAACTACCACTCTGTTGCCGATGCCAACCACCGACACTACCAATCAATCTATAGATATAATTAATACATTTTGATCACATATTGGACTCACCACAAATGAAAAGAAATAGGGTTTAATGTAATACTTTTTTGCACCGACTGAGCTAATATATCATGCAGTGTGCTACAAGTGAAATTTTGCTCGGACAAGGACATTACGAACTATTCTAGACATCTCTCACTGTCTGGCTAACTGTTCTGCTCCACGACAATCAGCAATCTAGGCCGATAAAGGCTAATAAAGTTTCTAGGACAAGTTTGTAATCAAATCAGGAACATCCTAGTAAGTGAAGCAGTAAGACCTCAACAAGCCACAATGGCTTGTTTGATTCATTTGGTGTTCAATAAGAAATTGATGCATCAATTAAAGATACATTAT